TTGAAGAGATTGCTGTTTTCCAATAAATGTTTGATTCATAACTTCAACGGATTATTTCCGATAAACTGAAAATTACAGAGGTTATTTCCGATTGGTAACTAATTATTGATTTGATATTAAGCTCAGTTAATCAATAACTTGACTTGCTTGACTGGCAAATATATTCATTAACACTTTTAGAATAAGTTGGAAATAATAGATGCTTCTTGTTGGGGATGTTAGATCCCCAAAACTCGCTTGTTAAATGCCTTATTTTGGATTTCACGTTTGCCAGCATGAGCTGATCAGTTGATCTTGAGATTTCATTTCCCACCAGGAAAATCCATGGCTGTGATTGGCTGCTGTGTATTTTAGTGTGCTATTTTTTGTAACTGCCCCAAGGACGTTTCTATGATGTATCAATAAACGAGAGTTGTGAGCTTGATTGTATTGTGTGATTGCTGGGTGTTTGTAGAATATACTTTCTACGCTTATCAAGACTTCTGTTATACAGTTTGCGATTCAAGGTAGCCTACCCGGACGCTGGTTCATTGTCTCGTTCGCGTTTATCGACTAGAGTGAACTCGTAATAGCTTTAAGCGTACCTAGTGACGAACTTAACACTTCTATTTATTTATGCCTCTAAACCCTCTATGTCTTATTTTATGAAGTGATAAGTTAGTTGAAGACTGTATAGTTTGATCAGTTTCATTAGTTTGAATGAAGCGATTATAAAAGTTTTAGTAATTCAATAAGTTTGCATATAAAATCAATTGGCTTGATAAATAGCGCTTTTAATAAATCTTGTCAAATGTGTACTTATATGTTGAGCCCTCAGGGCTTGTTATCTCAGCCTTTGGATAAATTGATCAGTCAGTTCTTCTCAGGTTGTTATTCACACGTTTCTCGACCTTGTCAACTATTCGCTTTCTATCTTAGTTTCTCTTACGTGAATGTGTATGTGCATTGCTGATTTCGCTTATTGCACGTCTAGCCTATTTGGTCTGTCTATAAATACTTAGTCATTAAGCATCATATTGATTTGGTTCACTCGCCTTTTCCACTTCGCTTCGCTTTGCCTACTTACTTCTCAGTTGCATGAATTAGTGTTTTTCGCAAAACCGAATTCGGCTTCTTGTTACCGCCGTATCAGAAACATAGTTCACCTAAGTACGATATACGGAAACGGAAGGGGAAATTTGTTTCACAGCACATAGTTAAATATTCGTCTAGACTAGATCGTGGGACATGAAAGTGGTAAGCAGCCACAAACCATACAAGTTATCCATAAAGAAGATAATTTGCTTACCTGCCATATCCCAACAGTGGTAGAATCGCCCACAACGCACTTAACATCCAAATTCCAAAAGGAATGTGATTATATGGCTTAGATATGAAATTACGAACTGCAAAAAAAGGAAACAGGGTAAAATATCATGTCAATTTGACTTCTATTCCTAAAATTTATTTGCAATGTCTTTAATTGTTTACGATTTATAACCGAACTGTGATTCACCTGTCGAGATAATTTCTTTCGAAAATGTAGAAAACATGAATTAATTCACCATACTTTAGCGAGTTCATAAAGTCATTTATGTGAGTTCTTGTCGATCGACGAAGAGTTTGAATAAGATGTTATCATCCATTTTTTTGCTAAGATCAAACAGACTGTATCTAGTAGCTGGCGGAATCCAGAGTACAAGTTCGCTCCTAATCGGTATTAAACCTTGATTTCAGGGCTAGACACAGTCCACCTATTCTAAATAATTTTTTAACTCCGCCTGTAGACCCTTCGGGGTTACTGCCTGTCCTAAGCCCGGATAATTTAGGAGGAGGATTGGTGTTGGCGACCCCATCCCACAAAAAACTAACTCGTTTGAAAGTCGTTGACGAGGAAAAATAATTCAAACCACATAAACTCTACTCTGAGAGTTAGAAGGTCTTCACTTAGAAGGGTGATGACGTCTCACGATGAAAGCCGAGTTCCTTCGGAAGTTATGAGGCTGGTGCCCCGTCTGATAACTAGAACCTTTCCACGGTGTGGGCACCCGGGAAGCAACATCCGCCGTCATACTCATAAAAGCACACGATTGAAATAATTTTTGAGACATTATGGCTATGTCGAGGCGATCACTACAGCATACACATATACTCAGGAAGATTGATGAAAAATTCAGCTCTCAGTGATCGCAAATGGATTAATCAAGCTTTAATTATATTAATATTCTGTTTCTACAGTACAAACAGTAAAAAAAGTCAACTCATTTTCTATTATTTAGGCATATTGTTCAACATAGCAGACTAATAGTTATAAATGAAATTAACTCAGTAAAATATATATTTTGATGGGACAGTGAGAAGACGTAATAGATCAGAAGAATGTGATGTATTTGCGCTACGTACATTTCGAACATTCTGGTCACAAACACATACACTTGTCAAGGCATTTTATTTGAATATTAATAAAAGGTCAATTAAATAAAATTTCAAGTATGGTAGGCTTAAAGATTACTAGGGTAAATTCAAGGTTATAACAAATTGTTTCTGTAAACATAAGGTCGGTGGTTTAAATTTTCGAATAGCTAAAGCCTCCATAAACCTCAAAATTCGTCCTTCAGCATTGAAGGCTGTCTTGATGTCAGTCTTGTTCCCTGTCTCAGTTGTGTTTTGTGATAGATGAACATGGTTTTCTATTTCCAACGCTAATCGGTTCATCTTACGTTAACTGATTTTGAAGCCACTTAGGTACATGTTCCATAACCCTTGATTACGTTGTTCGACTACTCCTCCTTATGTATGCGTGTCCACACAAACATGTGAATTGATAAATGCAATGGGATGTGATGTAATCATTCGAGCAATGTTTGGGTCTATGTGGAATCATGGGCTTAGTCTTTTCCATGATAATGGGTTTAGCAGCGTTGTATGTCTTCTCTATGTCTGATTTTAGTCTCTGTCTTAGGATTAGACCATTTCAATTCGCCTCTAAATGGTAAAGTGATATAGACCTTTTTCTTCTCAGCAGAATGAACTTTAATGGATAGCTGTTTGAAATGAATGTTTCAGTTAAGAATTTTGTATCGTCTTCAAATCTATCTGTAATGCGAATTCTTTGGACGCTTTTGAAGAGGCATTTTACCGAACCTCGCTTACGTATAGCGTAAATACACATCACAACATTTTAACAGATCAATTACGTCTTCTTACTGTTCTATCAAAATTTAAAAAACGGGATTAATTGTTTTAAATTTCTAAAAAATATCTGATAAATTTTATTGTTAATAGAAAATTCTTTCAATCAAATAAAACTAAGATAGAAGCTAATTCTTTTATTGAAATGGACAAAAGATGTACACTGAAGCTTCAAGTCTATCTTTATTCTAACATAAAATTCTTCAACTCTCTGCGATGCGTCAAAATATTACATAATGAGTAATTGAATTATGGATTATTTTACACTGAAATCGTGAATCAATCATCATAAGACGACTATTCGAAACCTGGAAGCACTGAACAACCGTTTCGTCCTGGTATGAGACTCATCTGGAGTGCGTATCTATGACTCCTGCTACTCACAGGAATCGAACCTAAGATCTGTTCAATTATTGTCTTAAAACTACCCACATTCAACCAAAAAAAGTCTCAATTCCTACCGAAAGTTAATCACATGTTTCAAGGAAGACAAATAGACAAGTAATACAACATGAATGGGATTATATCCTAACGATAGGATAGTGATTTTATTGAATAATATGTTAGTTACCATTCACTTAATTCAAATACACTAATGAGTTAACTTACCGCTAGTTAAATTCAATATTTCAATCATCGTAAAGAGACAAATAAAACAAGAGAAATAAATTGATGCCATTCCAAAAAACATTCCAATAAATGAGTACAGCTGACATCCAAAATTACCGAAAGGCCATCTAGAATGTAAAAATAAATGAGGGAATTAATTATCCAGATGAAAATTTCTTTGAAAAACTTCAATAACATGAAACGTCAGTTAGAAAAAATGAATATAGATAAAGGAGGTCAGGCAGTCAGCTATAACGTAAAACTCCGTTTATATGTACATTAGTTCAAGCTACCATACCACGATAGCACAGAGACACAAATGTCAATTCGAATCCCATAGTAGTAGAGGTAGTAGAAATATTAGCGTGAATGAAAAAAAGCAGAGGTCGAAGAAATTATTCAAGAAGTATAATCTAGTGAAATAAATTTAGAAAAGAGATAAGTAAAGGTTTCGAGCTCATGAGAGAGAACAAAGAATGGAAGCACCTGAGCCATTTCAAATAATTTTAAGCCGTATCACTCAAGGTCTCTAACCATTGGTAACTTTCGTCTCGCGGACCCCAACCAGGTAGCCTACATCTACCAACATGACTCTGTCCACTTGTTAGTGACTTCATGGATTTTTGCCATCTTTTGGTTTGGCCACCCCTAGCTTTCTTCCAACCTAATCCTACACCACAAAACATAGCTCGTCGAGGCAGTCAGTGGTTAGGCGTACACGTAACACATATCCCAACCACCTCAACTGATGAAGTTTCACTACTTCTGCTATTGATTTTCCATCCTTACCTAGTATCCTTTTCCTAACACCAGTATCGCTTACTCAGTGATCCATCGAAGATACCTATCATTGAACACTCATAGCCTGCAAATATCCTTTACTCTTAGTGACTATGTTTCTATACCCATATTGTAGGACGCACCGAACTGCTGCACAGTAAATTCATTCTTTAGTTCAAATACATCGTTTAATTTATGTCGATATATCTGTAACATATGTGTACAAGTTATAAATTTTAGAAAGAATGTTCTACATGCCTTACAAAACCTTAGTTAATCGAGTAGACTAAAAATATATTGGTTGGTTCCAAACTGCTACATTGAATAGTAATATTCAGATGACTAAATAAATTGTATCTACACACCATAGAATAATGTTTTCTAATATCAGTGAATCACCTTAAAACATAATGCCAACTTTTGAGATGGTGGAGAAGATTTGTAGCCCAGGTGGATGATTGTGGTGGTGGCGTTTGGTTCTCTGAGCTGGATGTTTGAGGTTAGCAGAACAAGCTACAGATCAAACATGGAGAAATTCGAATGCTTTACTTCTATCTGAAGTTTGTGCTGATGATGTTGCTCAGCAGAGGAACAATGAAAGCTCCACGACCAAAACATCCACAGCTCAGAGAAGTAAACACCACCACCACAATATTGCCAACTATCAGTTAATGAAAATGTTATCTTTGGTATTTAGAACAGAATGGAACATACTACTTTTATTTATTCGTAGTCTAATTTGTCCAATGAGCCTAATTAAACTGTAGTAAATATTTTCGTAATGATATACTACTACTATTCTTTTCACATGTAATCTATTCTCTTCAATATTTCCATTTGTCTTGAGTACATTAAACAAGCAAGATCTTGATCTGCTAATCTCTTACTAATCAGTTTAATCATTGAAAGAAATGTCTAAATTCATTCATTTTCATAATGTTAGTTGAAATTTGATCCTGTAACTAAGTGAATAAGTTTTCATCTCGATAAATTTGATAAATTTCGTGTATAAATTCTGAACATTAATAGAGTATTTTGGGGATTAAAATGTATACACATCCAATCTTTCACCTACTTACTTGACAATCAAATGGAAAGCATTTTATCTCAAATTTCCTATATTCTACTGAATGATAGTCTTTGGCTAATTTATGAAATGAGTTTGCTATCTGGTAATAAAGGTGTGAGTGTGGTGCGAGCTACTTATAAGTAGTATATGACGTGAGTGTAAACGTAATGTCTGGCAGCCGAAGATGGGGGAAGATCAAGAAAGGAAGACTTAGAACACAATGGAATTTGTATGAAACGCATGAATAGTGACAATGGATTGATGTTTTGCAACAGGAACAGTCCAGTTCGATATGATGAACTGATATTTTGCAAATTAACGATTTACGATATGGTTTTCCGATTTTACTGAATATTGAATATTGAAGTGAGGTGGAGAAGGCGAGTGAGCTAATTCAATCCGATACGGAATGACTGTATTTATAGTCAGACAAAATAGACTAGAAATGTGATAAGTACACCTACTACAACATCTGTAAACTTGAACATGAATAGAATAGTTCATTTTAAATCAATTCGTATACCTTTGGATACCATTTTATAAGACATGTGATTACATTCATGGTTTAAGTATATCACTAAAATCTCCCCAACGGGAGACGTATTATGGTGTAGGAGTAAGTAGGAAGAAAACTAAGGGCAGCAAGACTAAAATATAGCACAAATCCATGAATTCACTAACAAGTGGGCTGAGCCATGTCGGTAGGTGTAGACTACCTAATTGGGATTGGTGAGATGATGGTAATCGATAGCCTGCAATGGCACAGGTGTATCCATTCTTTATGTTCTCTCAAATTTTAACCTTCTGAATTCCTCATCACCTTCTTTCTCGTTCTAAATTTAATTCCACAGGATTATACTTCTTGAATAATATCTTCAAGCCCTAATCTTTCCGATTACTGCTCATACTTCTACTACTTATACCGCTATGGGATTTGCATTGACGATTGGATCTCTATGCTGTTGTGGTATGGCAACCTGAACTAATGTACGTAAGTGCTTTTGAAGTTCTACATTGTAACTGACTGACATTGATCGATTCATGATTTCAAAATGTGTTTCTTTTAATTGTCTTCTCTCATAATCTATTTAAAAGTATCTTTTAGAATCTTTGCGCATTAAAGTTTAATTTATAGTCTTTTTTCCTATTTTATCGGAATACTCGATACACTTGGGAGTTTATCCTGCATGTTTAATTCAGTTCTGACAAATATTTCCTAAAATTGTTAGTAAGTTCACTTTTTAATTGAATTACCAATTCAAACAGATCAATAATTGATCGGAGAAAAACATTGAAGAAAAAGCTTAAAATGTGAATTTCGATAAATGATTGTCGAATATTCCTTTGAATATCTAAGTTTCCATAGGCATAAGACACTAGTTAAATACTATTAATTAAACCTCAATGATCGATTCCTACTGATGTTTGTATTTTCAACATTTGAATTTATTTCTATATTTGTACTCAAAACAACTACTTGATAAAAAGTTTCATGATCAAGGTAACAAGGCTGCTTCATTTCAGTGGTCCAGAGGTTGGGTGATCGCTCGCAAGACCGAAAGTCCTTGGTTTCAATCCTTCAAGTGGCACGAGTCGTCGATACACAGTAGTGATCAGTCCCGTATAAGGACGAAAAGGCCATCCAGTGTTTCCAGGTTTGGAATGATGGCCTAACAACGATCGATTTATGATTTAGGAAATAAATAGAGTATTGAGTAGAATTTGAATTATAAACTACTGATATATTTGTTTTATGTTGTAATGTGTACTAATATATCGAGCTCATATGGCTTGTGCCAGCTTTCTGAAAAACTAATTAACCTTTTCTTCCCAAGTTATTAATCACAACTTGTCTATTGACCTTTTCAATTTTATCTGACTATTAATACTTAAACATTCCTCATTAAGGGGGGTTGTGAAAATTGTTAAGTTACACATTTTCGAAACCATGAATCGATCAATGTTAGACCTCATTACATTAAGTCGGCTCACTGGCCTTCTCCACTTCATTTCGCTGCGCTTGTACGCTATGTATTCTCATGTCTGTCAGTGTTAATGATTGCTTGAAATACACTCACCCACCTAGTCCGTATTTGGCTTCTTATACCGCCATCGCACAAACGGGGTTAGCCTAGTCACAGCACATATGGAAAATGAAGGGAAGATTTATTTTATAACATATCTAGTCCTTCATTCAAATCGAAGTCAAATCGCGAGCCATTAAAATGTCCAGACGAGTAGAAATTAGATTGTTTTACTTTTTGTCATATACAATAAGCCTTTTTTTCGTAATCAGTAAACGAACAGAATTAAATTAGTGGAGGCCAAACCAAAAACGTGGCACAAATCCATGGAGTCACTGACAAATGGATTGAGGCATGTTGGTAGGTGTAGACTAGCTGACTAGGATCTACGAGACAATATCAATCGATGGTTAGAGACTTTGAATAACGTAGTTGAAAATCGCTTGCAATAGCGTAAGTGCATTCATTCTCTGTCTTCTCTAAACTTTCTGATTTGAATTCCTCTTCACCTTTATCTTTCTCTTTTTAAAATTTATTTCACTAGATTACACTTCTTGAATAATATCTCCAAACCCTACACTCACCAATTACCGCTAGTACTTCTACTACATGTACTACTATGGGATTTGAATTGGCAATCACATCTCTGTGCTACCGGTAACTTGAACTGATGTACTTGCGTACGTACGTACGAAGTTCTTCGTTGTAAGTGACTGACTGACTGACTGACTGACTAGAATCAGGATGACGTGTATGAAAAATGAATCATGTTTACTGAATACTACTAATATCAGAAGAGACTACATATTGATTCTTACCTCTTTTGAAAAGCACCAATGGCACTAAACGGTGTCATTGCAATACAACCCAAACAAGCAGCAGTCAAATGATAATGAAATTTTGTCAAACTTTTTGGTAAAATTGCATTGATCTTTATTAAACGTGAAATATTCTTGATGTGTAACCATACGCCTGTTAAACCTGAAATAGATTTTTTGAAAAACAAAACTAGCTGCTGATTATGAGTTGTGATAATTTTTCACCAGCCTCGAGCATTATGCTACATCTTTCAAGAGCTAGTAAGGCCTAATTTACATCATTGGAATGTTCAGTGTTGACTATCTATGCAAAGAGAGAACTTCTCTCCCTCTTTTGTTCAATTGAAAAATATCTGGAACTCCAAACAACTGTCATCGAACACCAAAATCAGGATTTTCAAAACAAATATCAAGACAGTTCTATTGAACGTAGAGGAAACTTGGAGAACTACAGAAGCCATCACCCAGAAGATACAAGTATTCATTTATAGTTGTGCACGCAAAATACTTCAGACCCGTTGGCCAGACACCATCAGCAACAACGTACTGTGGGAGAGAACAAACCAGATTCTAGTGGAGGAGGAAATGAGGAAGAAGCGGTGGAAGTGGATAGGACACACACTACGAAAAGCACCTAACTGCGTAACAAGAAAAGCCCTCACATGGAACCCTCAACGTCAAAGGAAAAGAGGAAGGTCAAAAAACACATTATACCGAGAAATAGAGAAAGACATGAGGAGAATGAGCAAAAATCGAACAGAACTGGAAAGGATTGGCCAGAACAGAGTTGTTTGAAGAACACTGGTGGGCTGCCTATGCTCCACTGGGGATGACAGGCCTAAGTTAAGTTAGTAAGAGACATCAGAAATACGATGACTTACTATTTACTTACTTACGCCTGTTACCCCCAATGGAGCATAGGCCGCCCACCAGTTTTCTCCAACCAACTCTGTCCTGGGCTTCCCTCTCCAGTTCTGTCCAATGTTTGTTCATTCCTCTCATATCTTTCTCTATTTCTCGGCGTAGTGTGTTCCTTGGCCTTCCTCTTTTCCTTTTACCTTGAGGGTTCCATGTGAGGGCTTGTCTCGTGACGCAGGAAATACGATGAAGTACTCGTTTAATCGTAAGCCTAATGTAACATGTACCATAGGTGAATTTGAAATGACAAATATGTAAAAATGTAGTTAAGATTTTTTTTAAGTTATAGTAGCCCCGATTCATTTTCAGTGTATTTTTCGGTAATTTTCAGGAATTGGTGATTGTCCCTACCATTGTGGTGTACGCTACTTATGTTCGCATAAGTAGTATATCATATCATACGGAAATCAAACGTCTGACAGCAAAAGATCGAGAAGGAAAGAATGAGAACAGAAGGCAATTTGTAGGTAACGTAAAGCGAACTGAAGTCTCAACAGTCTAAATGAAAGGACACTGAAATCTGCAACAAATAATGATTAGTTTGCAAATGATGATTCACGGGAAGGTTTTGTACATATGCTTAACAACTCTGTAATACTCGCTTAAATACATATGTTGATGGCCTCACCTGAGTTATCGTGCACAACACCATGAGGTCATAGAAATTACTGCCTGATTTGGACTAGATCAATGTTGTTGGATTTACTCGAAACTCTAATATAAAAAGAACACACACCATCATCATCATGGCAAGCCTGTCACATCTAACAAAAAATAACAACGACCATGTTTCCATACGATCAATGTTTAAGGGATTTAATTCCTAAAAGAAACCTAATTGTATAATACTCAGTAATATTCAACATAGTTTGCAGAAGTATTTGTACTGTCCTAATACAAATCAACTTTTGAATCTCATTTATTCCAAGTGAAAATCCAACAGTGAGCTACCGAATATTATTACATCAATACAGCGATGAAGATAAGATAAACAATTTTACTTAAAATATTTATACTTACCAATAAATAGAAATGCAAATCCAAAATGATACGTATTCTCATACATAATAGATTAAATGTTCGTTAATTGTGATCGTTTCGTTGAATATTATCAAATATTATCTCACATTCAGAAAAAACGCAGAATCAAATTTGTTTAATTAAATTCGTTGTGACCCTTTTATGCTTTTTTAGGTCAATCAATATGATGTTGTGAGTATTTAAACTATGATTGGTTGAAATATAAAAATGCTCTCAGTGAAATAATGAAACAAGCCATAAAATAGTTTTTATCACTGAAGTGATTGGTGGATATTTGTGTTTGTTCTATGAAACTCGTTTCATGATGTTAATAATCACTGAAACTGGAAGGTTATACGACAGTTGTTTCATATCATTTCGAGACTTCCTAACAGAAGGCACTAGCAATCCGCCAACTTACTGGAAATAGAATCTTTTTGGTTATGTGTCGCAACTTTATTGATGATTATCAGTTTACATGTTGTAATGATGTGAGTAAAGGGTTCACTGACAAATATTTGGTCTATACCAAAGATAAGTAATGGTTTAAGATGATAGGTCTAAGGATTCATGAATATTATTTTTGCATTATGGGGCTGTGGAGATTGTTGAGTTACTTACTGAAATCATGAATCGATCAGTGTTAGGAGCTGTGGTTGCGCACTGTTGATGAGTCCCTAGCCAGGACGAAACGACCTTCCAGTGCTTCTAGGTTTCAAATGATGGTCTAACATTGATTGATTCATGATTTCAATAAATAATATTTGTAGGATCCAAACTGAGGGATAACTGTCCAGATAGTTTAGAAACGCATCTTGCCCAGTTGAAATCTAAAACAAGTGATTTGGGTAAATAACGGTTCTAATATTCATCATAAATACAAATATGCATCATTACCTGAACAAATATTACCACTCAGTCATTTCACCAATAATTGTTCAGTTATTCAAACAAATGATATTCCAACCCTCCCAGATAGATCAGATTCGTTTGACAGATAATATTTGATTGCGTTATAACATAGAGTGTTTCCGATTCTGAAATAGTGGCTCTCCCAAGGATGTTTCTGTGGTGTATAATTACACTCCATTTGTGTGTTTTTCGACCTCGTATTTTCGTGGTGCTTGTAGAACAAACTTTCTAAGCATCATTAAAACTTCTTGATATAGTTAGCCGGGCCAGGTACAAACGGATTAGAATAGCCTATGGTGTCACTGGATCATTTGTCTTCGCTCCGTTTACCGAGTAAGGTGAACTCATGTTAGCAATGGAGCATATCGATTAACGAGGATATTAGTATCATGCTGATTAGTCAACTAGATAGGTTGTTAGATTCATCCGAGTTAGATATTGACACCGTTCTATGCCTACCAGCTCAGTGGTCCAGAGTTTAAACGTTCGATCGCAGGATCTAAGCTCCTAAGTTCAGATCCTGCGAGTGGCAGGATTCGTGGATGCCCACTATGGATGAGTCCCATACCAGGACGAAACAGCTATCCAGTACTTCCAGGCTTCTTCAATGTGTAAAAACAATGATCTCTATAACTGTAATTGAAAAAAACTTTCAACAATAGTTATAAATGATTTTCTCAATTGGGAATTATTTTTACTTTCATAATATTTAAGTAGTATAATTATTATTGTGCATATTTCATATGCGTAATTTCTATGTCACTAATCCATTTATTAATGTTTGCCCCGAAAAATATTTTTATTCAATCGTAGTGAAATTTAGATAAATGAAATACACTTGCGAAATTCGATCAAATCGTATCAATATTCGACACACACACAAACACACCTTTATTGTATTGAACGATATCGAAAAAAGCTTTTAAACATCCAGATAACTGAAACCATGGAAATCTATGGAAATTTTTTTCCGCCTATAAGATAATTTTATTCTTACTATCAGTTAGTTGATTTTGTTAACTCGTGCAATCAGTTACACATATATATATATATTTATATACAGATAAATATTAGCTTCAAATAATTTCAAATTACAGGGCGGGAAATGAAAATGTTCAATGGCAAAAGTTCTTGTTTTAATTTTAAATGAAATTTAGAAATTCTTTTAAAATTGATATTTCCAAGTTTCGTAGAAATACAGTCGTGTTATACATCACATCGGAATTGATAAAACAAGGCCATTTGGAACGCTGACAGCATTTTTTTTTTGACCATGAGTGTTGATAATGAAGCAGCAGGTAATGAAAGTATTTTTATTATTATGGTTACTGAAAACATTTTAATTGCATTTTTGATTATATTTCAAGTTTAAAATAGGAAAGATAAATATGTTTATTTTAGAATTTGAAAAAAATCAACTGTTGATGATGAATGAGAATGAGGTTTATGTAGAGTTAGCAATTTCGAATTTTTTTGAGACAACATTGCTAAAAGATCCCAATGGAAGTGTGAGTTTACTAAAAACAAGTACCTCTCTTATTTAAGAGGTGGATATTATGGTTTAAATTAAAAATAAGTTGATGCTTAACGTTATGGAATCCATGACGAACGATGGTAGCTTACTATCTTTAACGCTGATGTGTACTCATTTCGGACTTGAAGCCCTGTGTATTCAAAGCCAGTTAACCCTATGCCTTTCAACATCCAGCGTTACTATCCAGCTTAGGCTAAGCTTGTATGAGGTTGAGCACTTCCACAGCTGACAGATCTCAAGCAGTTAATCGAAATGCTCTATCTGGAATTTCCTATGTTACATAATTGTTTCCTGACAGCCATAAGGGACTACTTTATATAAGTGCATATGAGCACTGTCAAATGCCCGAGATGTCTCCTGAAGGCAAACTTGATACAAGTGTAGAATAGTTCTTAACACGCGGATGAGAATACTTCGAATGGTTTTAGCTATTCTGTGTATATTTTCAATACTGATTTTCATGATACTTTTCTCAAACAATTGTCTCTTTGAGTTAGTTAAGATCCAATGAGTTGCCAACTTTGAAATTCGCTTTGTATCTCTTAGATGCGATTTGAGGCTCAATTCATGGGGGAAGTCTTTTACGAATTCTAAATGTAATAACAAAAAGCTAAACTGACTATAATTATATATTCAATCGACGACAATCCGTTGAGTGTTTATGCAACTGAGTGTTTTTAAATTTTTTCAAGATAGTTTAAGGCTGATTCACGGAAATCTCTGACTAAAATCTTCTGAAGGAACTATACTAGATACTCAGCATTCATTTATTGAGCTGTAATAGTGTTTAAATTTCTGCTAATTCTCTATTCTTGAATGATAATTGATCGAGTTTGATCTTATCTGGGCTTTGCGTGTTGGTCATGTCAGTTATGGAGGGTCCAGGTTTTAGGCAATGTATATACTGCTTTGTATTCGGCTATCGTACGTATGTACAGATCAATTTCATATTTGGTCCAATCATGTTCCTTTTGACGATAGCACATGAGATACTATTTATTTGATTCAAATCTCGGCATGAAATGGTACTAAAAATAGTGAGGTGTAGGAGTATTCGTAGATATAATCCTGTTAGCGAAAATCAGCGATTTTAGTGAACAATAGATTTGTAGAGCTGGAAAGGTGAAGGTCTGTAGGGGCTTAGAATTAAATTTTGGGAGAAACAGAGGTAATTCATAGTCCGCATCTAAATCCCGTCAGCCTGAACGATCTTTCGTAGTGCCATGTTAATTGTCTACCTAACCGCCACGTGCAGGTGTAGTCTATAACATTCACACATGGACTCAGTATGTAGCTTGTAAGGTTGCAACTTCATGGTGCTCTTTGAAGCCTGTTTTGTTTGGGGCTCTTTCCTCAACTATTACATACATCCGCCAAGAGGTGCGTAGCTCGACCTAGGTGCAGTCGGTGGTTTTTTTTACTGCATACACTCTGCAAAAGCAGCACATCCACGGCAAAAAAAGAGTACCACCCACCGCCTGCATGTTACTTATGTCCTAATCCACCCCTGCAGGACGTAATGAAGTGTCATATAAACTTCATGCGCTTCATTGATACCTTGTCATCGCTTACTCTAGCACTCTCCGTTTCTTATACAATCCATTCGTAGTCATTGTGGCTTTACATCCACCTTCCGGAAAATTGTCGAGCCTTTTAGGATATGATACAGGCAAATCTATGCGAAGGCATGGCTACGACCGAGTACTGTATATCAGATGCAGAGCGTTTACCTCTAGCTCACTTACTGACTATGTTTCTGCAGGAGATGGCTGCATCACATAATGTTGACTTAGCGAACTTTGCAGGCTTAGGCCCATTCTCGTACCTCTGGTTAGTACATGGATATCTCGCCTAGGCTATAAGTGACGCAACTTTGCAAATGCCAATCGAATATTCTGTATCCTTGCTGAGATTTCGTCAGACGACACTATCAGTTCTATCAGCACTAGATGGACTCAGCCGATGTATAAGTGAGTTTTGGTACACGCTCAGCTACTTTCTAGCCACTCCTCATCCTGAGGTTAGTGGCTTGATGATCCTTATCATATCTAGTAGGATTCATATCTGTTTACATCGAAGGTGGGGCTCTAAACATAAAAAGAACTTTAGTTTTTCTTCTAGTTATTACTAATTTTATAAACGCTTTCGGGATCGGTGGTTTGATCTAGTATGACCGCTACTCAAAACAAAAGTATAAATTGGTCGTAAGCATATTGATAGTCAGGTATAGGTGACATTAATAGCGTATTCTTATGTTCATTTGTAAATACGTGGCCTAGCTTGTGATGATTGATACATATGAGTTTGGATTGAAAATCTACTAAAGGATACAGTCAAAAAAATTAGTAGTGATTTAGACACACTTATCAACACTGAGATAGAACATCAATTAATCCTTTGTTAGCAGTTAGCTCACATTAGTCAGAACCGTGGAAGCACTAGACGACCGTTGTTCGTGCTATATGGGACTCATCCATTCAGTACCGTCGCATCACGGCCACTTCCCCCGCGCGTCTTAGAGTGTGGGAACCTGAACCCATGGGGGGGCCTTCGGTCTTGCTCGATGAACGCTTAAATCCGCTTGGATCGCATTTGAGCTGTCGGCATCTGACGAGTTTTGG